TCACCGTCCATGGTGGTTAAGATCATTGCCCCACCGGAAAAGATGTTCTTGATTACAAATGGTCCTTCATAGGTAGGAGTCCATTTGCCCCTGGGATCACTTTGTGGAAAAATGATGCGCTTGATCACTAGATCTCCAACTTGATATTCTTGGCGTCTGACTTTCTTGTTGAAAGCCTTGATCATCCGTTTTTGATACCTCTGACCATGGCAAACAGCAGTAAGTCTCTTTTCATCAATTAAGTTCAGTTGATCAAGTCGGGTCTGGATCCAATCGTCTTCACTCAAACCTGCATCTTTCATGATTCTCAAAGAGGGAATCTGAACCTCAATAGGTAAAACAACCTCCATGCCATAAACCAAAGAATAGGGTGTTGTCCCAGTTGATGTGCGAGCCGTGGTACGGTATCCATGGAGAGCAAACGGTAGCATCTCATGCCAGTCCTTGTAGGTGACTGTCATTTTTTGTATGATCTTTTTAATGTTTTTATTAGCAGATTCGACGACACCATTCATCTTTGTCCGATAGGGGGATGAATTATGATGTTGAAGTATTCAGTGAAGGGAAATATTGTCACCGTTCATGGTGAAGAGGAGTACATGGTAAGCCATCTAAACTCTTTCAAGTACGTGGAAATGGACGGTGAGTTCATAGAGACCCCTTGCCAAAATTTTGAAGAGGTTCCCCAGACTATGGCATCAACCGAGACTATTACCAGTGTGCCAAAGATCCCCAGACCTCCTTTGAAGATGGCTTCTCTCAAGGACGCCAGAGCAGTAGTTGAAGAAGGTGGGTGCACCATTTGGGGACATCTCCCTGATTTTCCTTATAAAACTGACAAATTTGGTTTGGGCTTTACTTCAGGAGCTCAAAGGGTTGTTCGATGTGCTCGGGCTGGAGGACCTCCCCTACACATTAGCAATCGTGGGGTCAATGCTATAGAAGACGATGATAAGGAATCTGATATCTCCAGTTGGATCTACCCTACTACCAACGGTGGACCTCGTAACTGGACGACCAAATATTTTTTGCCGATTACTTTTATTCAGCAGTAATTGTCTTGCTTGTTTTTCAGATTTGTAATAAACAATATAAACTCTATGATCTTGTGTCTTACCTGAGGCATAATGGTTTATTTGGGAGGGTTATTATATGTCATTATCATATGTCATCAATAAAACTTTGGACGTTCTTGCATACAAATTTTGTGCTCTCTGTTTTTCTTTTCTGCTTTTCACTTTATCAATACAGTTATGCGCTTACACACACTCACATATCAAACTGCAGATCCATATCCACTCTAGATCCCATTGATAGAAGTTCTATTATTTCCAGTTATAACTTCGAAAATCTGATCAACCAATCCGAGGACGTAGGTGAGGAAGATTATGAGGTACCTAGAGAACTTGCTAGACTATTACATTAGGAAGAGAGGGCTATACAGCCTCATGAAGAGTCAGTTGAGACAATAAACTTGGGCACAGAGGTAGACAGAAAAGAAGTCAAGATTAGTGCAAATTTGGGGCTTAATGCCAAATAGCGGTTGATACATATGTTGCATGATTATGTCGAGATCTTCGCCTGGTCATATGAAGACATGTCGGGACTAGATACGGATATCATGGTTCACCGACTACCAACTAAAGAAGATTGCCCTCCGGTAAAGCAGAAGTTCCGTCCCATGCGCCCTGAAATGTCAGAGAAGATCAAAGCAGAGGTTATGAAGCAATTCAACACTGGGTTCTTTGTTGTTACTTCTTACCCCCAATGGGTTTCCAATGTAGTTTCGGTGCCTAAAAAAGATGGTAAAGTACGAATGTGTGTGGACTACAGAGACCTGAACAGGGAAAGCCTCAAGGATGACTTCCCGCTTCCCCATATCGATGTTCTGGTTGACAACACCGCACATCATAAAATATTTTCCTTCATGGATGATTTTTATGGCTACAACCAGATCAAGATGGCACCCGAAGACATGGAGAAGACAACCTTCATCACACAGTGGGGCACTTTCTGTTACAAGGTGATGCCTTTTGGGTTGAAGAATGCTGGGGCAACTTATCAGTAAGCCATGGTAGCTTTGTTCCATAATATGATTCACCATGAGATGGAGGTTTATGTTGATGACATGATAGCCAGGTCTCAAACTGAGGAAGAACACCTTGATCATTTACAAAAGTTGTTTGATAGGTTGAAGACATACAAGTTGAGGTTGAATCTGAACAAGCGCACCTTTGGGGTAAGGTCTGGCAAACTATTGGGTTTCATTGTCAGTCACAAGGGAATTCAGGTGGACCCTACAAAAGTAAAGGCTATACAAGAGATGTCGGCTCCTCGCACCGAGAAAGAGGTCAGAAGTTTTTTGGGACGCCTAAACTAAATTTCCAGGTCCATTTCCCATTTAACTACTACTTGTGAACCAATCTTCAAGCTCCTGAAGAAAGATCAAGTGGTAAAATGGAATGATGAATTCCAGACTGCCTTCGAAAGGATCAAGGAGTACCTTAAAGAACCACCAATTCGGATGCCTCTGATTGAAGGAAGACCTTTGATAATGTACTTAACAGTGTTAGACAATTCAATAGGGTGTGTGCTGGGGCAGCATGATGAGTCTGGTCGAAAAGAGCATGCAATATACTACCTTAGAAAACATTTTACCGACTGTGAGACAAGATACTCACTGCTGGAGAAAACTTGCAGCGCTTTGGCATGGGCTGCTCGCCGACTAAGATAGTATATGTTGACCCACACAACTTTGCTGATATCTAAGATGGATCCGATCTATATCTTCAAGAAGCCCGCTCTTTCCAGAAGAATAGCAAGATGGCAGTTGATCTTAACCGAATACGATATCTAATACACGACCCAGAAAGCAATCAAGGGGAGTGTATTAGCTGATCATTTGGCTCATCAGGCCGTGGATGACTACCAATCCATGAATTTTGAGTTCCGAACGAGAATATTATGCTAGTGACTAACTATGAAGAACTTGGACCGGATGAAGGACCTGAAAAAGGATCCCGATGGACCATGGTTTTTGACGGAGCCTCGAACACACTCGGTAATGGCATTGGTGCTATAATCATATCCCCTGAGGGCTTCCATACTCCTTTCACTGCCCGACTATGCTTCAACTGTACCAACAACATGGCGGAGTATGAAGCATGCATCATGGGTCTCAAAGCTGCTATTGACCTAAGGATCAAGTTCTCAGATATTTTCGGAGATTCGGCCTTGGTGATAAGTCAGATCAAAGGAGAGTGGGATATGAAGCACCCGAATCTCATCTCGTACAAAGAGCACGTGCTGACATTGCTTCCACACTTTGAGGAAGTCACCTTTGAACATTTTCCACGAGAAGAGAATCAGTTAGCAGAAGAGTTAGATACCATGTCCTCCATGTTCAAGGTCAGGTGGGATAACGAGGCTCCTCAGATCACTATTGAGAGGTTAGATGAACCAGCATACTGCTATGAGATCGACACGGAAGAAGTAGCAGACAAACCTTGGTTCTATAAAGTGAAGAGATATCTCGAGGCTCAAGAGTATCCCGAGGGGGATCTGTCAATAATAAGAAGTTTCTGAGAAGGTTCATCGCAAAGTTCTTCCTCAGTAATGGAATCCTCTACAAGCGCAACCATGACTCTACTTTAATTCGGTGCATAGACAAGAGCGAAGCGGAGAGGATTATGATAGATCTACACGAATGTACCTTCGGAACCCATTCAAGTGGACATACCATGGCTAAAAAGATCCTACGGGCATGATACTATTGGTTCACTATAGAAGCAGACTGCTATCAGCATACCCGAACTTGTCACAAATGCCAGATCTATGCTGATAAGGTGCATGTACCTCTGGTTCCTTTGAATGTCTTGACGGCTCCTTGGCCCTTTGCAATGTGGGTCATTGACATGATCAGAGAGATTAGACCTACCGCTTCCAATGAGCATCGCTTCATCCTGGTGGCCATTGATTACTTCATGAAGTGGGTTGAAGCTGCCTCTTTTGCTACTGTTACCAAGAATGTTGTGGCACGGTTTATCAAGCATAACCTGATATGTCGGTATGGTGTGCCAGAGAGAATCAACTCTGAGGAAAAATGAGGAAAAATAAACCAAAATCGGAATGATACCAAACGAATAATAGTTCGTAGCACAACAAGCAAAGCAGAGAAATTTGGAAAACTTCGTGCAAGCTAGCATCAACATCAAGAGAATAGCTAGAAATCGACAATGTGAAAATAAATCGCATGTGCAATGTGTGCATCAAAAGCATCCCCATCACAGACAGTATATGCACAAGAATTCACAATCCAGACAAAAACACAAGCAATGTATATTTTTCATGTAATGAGAATCAAGATAAATTGCATTGGAAGCGAATCTCAAATCCACAAATGAAGTGGAATGCAAATGCTTTTCAATCAAAATAAACGATCGAAAACTCTCTTGAAACGCCTTGCACATATCAACGAATGAGTTAGAAATAACATGGAAATGATAATCGAAGTTAAGCATCTATATCACATATTAATTCCTAAAATCAATTAAAAATCTAACAAGTTTTTATTGAATTTTTAATTTTTTATCATAAAAAAATTAGAAAAGAAAAAGTCCTAACTCTAATATTTTCTAATATTTTGATTACATCAATTTTTTTTAAACAAAAACTATGAAAAAGAAATTAACTAAAATCTAATGAAAAAGAGTCAGGGGGTGCAACTGGATTCAAAGTCTATGGTGTAGTAAGCCCAGGCGTTGCAGGCCCATTGCATAAGAGTCCAATAACAATTTTTATCCACAAGCAAAACAAATCATCCAAAAAAGGTGATATTAGGACTTAGGGAGTTCAAATTTTGTCCACTCCAAATTCAGTAGGCTGAGTCCATTTTTATTTTTATTCAACATATAAAAAAACAAATAATAGTAAAAAATGAATTAAACTAAAAGTTAAAAAGGGATTAGGGTTAAGAGAGAAAATGTGTCTCTTCATCTCCCTCATGAAACAAATTTCACTTTTCTCTTCTCCTCCAAACATATACGCGGCAGCCAAACACAGCTCCTCCGATTGAACAAAATCACGGTGCCGCCACAACCATTCCCCTTTGTTCTCTTCGTCTTCTCACCAGGCCACGACGGACGTCTCTCAATACCTCTCAGTCTTGTAACTTCAACTGAACTTCGTACCAACCTTCTCCGTATTCGATCTCGTGTATTTGCCATAAAATTAAGGAAAGATGCTCAAAGTGATGAGAGATGGAAGGAATCAACTTACCGACCATAAGCAAACTCCTGCGGTCCTTCAATTAGAAACATCTTCGTCGACGATGAAAAGGCCTAAAGACTTTTCTTCAAGAACTCAGGTTTATCCTTGTGGTCATCCTCCCTGTCTTCTACTTCTTCTTCTTCTAATCTTGCTTTTGCAATTTCGGTTATTGATCTTGTGAAGAGGCGATTGTAGAGAATGAAGGTTATGCTGACGTTGTTGTTCGATTGTAGGAATTGAAAAAAGCTTCTTAGAAATAAAAATCAGAATTCAGAAGCTAAATTTTCTTGATGATTTCTTCGATTTATGGATTCAATCTTAAATTTCAGAGAGAATTTGAAGGATTTTCACGACGATTTTTATGGATCTTTGAAGGATGAAGATAATGGAAGGAAGATTTAGAGAGAATGCAAAGAAAGAGTGAAGGTGATGACGATCATTGAGGTTGCAGGAAGATGAAGCAGAGAGAAAGAAGAAAGAGCTTTTGGTGATTCTTCTAGAAATTGGAGAATGAATCATGAACCGTGTGAACTTTTTGTTTTATAGTTCTGTTATTCTGAGAAAGTTAGTTAGGGATTGAGATAATATTGAACTTAGATCCTGAAAGTTTTTACAAGGATTGGAGGGTGAGGATCGATTTTGATTTTTAGCTTTCTTGATAAGCTTTGTTGAGCTGGAATATCAATTGCATTTTTATTGAGTTTCGGTAACATGCCTGCGTTTAATTGTATTTGGCTTAACACTGATATGTTATTTTTATGATACATTGCTTGACGGGCTTGGAACGAAAACTGTATTGGGCCTTTGTTTCTAATATTTGTTTGAACTTTGTTATTTCTATTATTTGTTATTTTCTTTCCGAGAACTGATTTGCTTGTTTGTGCTTCTATGAAACCTGACGTAATCTTTTTATGAATTCTGTATTGCTTTGTACTATGAAAACTTGTTGCTTTTGCTCGACTGTTGTGATTCTAACTATGCTTTTGACTCTAGTGTTATGATGAGCCTTTTTACTAAATTTGTAATGAGTTTGTCTCTTTTTATACCTCCCTTTGTGAACCAAAAAACAAAGGCTTTTTGTGATTTTCAATAGGAGAAGAAAAGGCACATGATTAACTCTTGAATTCTGACTTTGTTGAAACAAAGTATGAGGCCTTGGTTGTTGATGAACATGAGTGAAAAAAGACACCCTTATATATGATTCCTACATAAGCCCTAATGATGAGATTGAAAACATCTTTGTGTGAAAGGTTTTTGTTTAAATTTCAATTCTTCATTCTTTTTGCTAACCAATTTCCCTTTCTTTTGTTTCATGAACAAATGATGGTGACGAGGGAGCAAGTTGGTGACAACATGGCATGACTTAGAAAAGCTTGAAGTTTGGAGGGAGATTCACAAGGAATATAAAAGGGAAATCTCTCTTAGAAACCATAGAAGTAGACTTGCTAGATTAGGGATTCTATTTGAGTTTGCCTTTAATCTTAAAAACATGATGTAACCATAGTAATTTTGTAGGATTGATGAACACTTTTTGATATAATGGTTCATTTGTAACAAGTCCTTTGAAATGTGTCTAGAAATTGGCATGGTGAATGAATGAATCATGGAATTTTGATTGATGAGGTGAATAATGGTGAATTGATTTTAAACGAATCTTGAAAGCAAATAAGATGAGGCATTGATCTTGAAATGTTCGAAAATGTTTTGGATAAAATCATGAAGCTTGCATTCTGAATGTAACTTGTAATAGGTTAAATGTGATTCTTGGTTTCAAAGAGAAATTGCCATGACAATTTGACTTAACATAGGCGTAAAAATCAATATACTTTCTTGTAGCCTTAATATAAAAAAGTTGAAACAGGCAAACTTGCCCTACAACAAATCTCAAATAAAATATCTTAACCCTAACTTAGCCAAACCTGCGTAACAAGAATTGCTCTTAAAATTGAATCATGAGCTCCTCCCTTATACCATGAGAGTTTCGTGAAAACATTGACAAACCCAAGCATAATAAGATAGAACGCTAAGCTTACTGAGGTATATATTTAATGAAGAAGTAGCTTAACCTCAAAGCTCTAGCTTGCCATCCTCTTAGTTGGAATCATCGATGAAACTTGTAAGCTCTTGATAGAGACGAAACTTTGGAGTTTGATGAAAGAAGGGGTCTTCATAATGATTATGAACTCAAACTCTAATTCCACAATCCATGATCCAAGAAGGAACCAGGTACACTTCCCTTGAGTGAAATGGGGTCCTCAACGCCATTAGAAACCCTAATTCCAATTGAAAAATATATGAGATAAATGATTAACTTCCAATTTCTGGTACACATCAATCATCTGATGAAATGTTGACTACTTTGAGGTGTCTCGAGATATGAGGAAACCTTGGTAGCCTGAACAGTTAAAATAATGAGGGTTTGAAAATCCAACTTGGAATGATTGTTAAAAAATAATCAAATTCCAAAGCTTAAAGAAACCAGGAAGATAAGAATAACTTGATCTCGTCACAATGCATAAATATATATGATGAAACATAAGCCATAAAAGGGTAAAATGAAGAGGTAAAATTTTAGGGTGCAACACCAAGTTTAAGTCTATGGCTGAAAGACAAAGTTATATAAAGCTCAAAGTTTTGAGAACTGGTGGTGGTGGAGAGTATGTGTCGAAAGACTTCGACAAATTATGTGAAAAATAAGGGATTGTGCATGAGGTAGTGCCACCCTACACACCACAACAGAATGGAAATGTAGAAAGGAAGAATCGAACCATCATGAATATGGTGAGAAGTATGTTGAAAGACAAGCATTTACCTAAAGAGTTTTGGGGTGAAGCTGTGTCGACTTCAACATATATTTTGAACAGATGTCCTACGAAGAAGCTAGAAGGAGATACTCTAGAAGAATGTTGGTCTAGTGTGAATCCTAGCTTAAGTCATCTGAAGGTATTTGGATCTATTACACATAGACATGTTCCAGATCAGTTGAGAAGAAAACTTGATGATAAGTCGAGTTAGATGATCCTAGTTGGATATCATTTGACAGGAGGTTACAAGTTGTTCGATCCAATGAACAATCAGATTGTGATCAGCAGGGACATGGTCATAAATGAGCTTAAAGAATGATATTTGACTGAAAATGTCAAGAAAGATTCAATGGAAATCCTACTTGAAGAACCAGAAACTTAAGTCGAAAGAGAAGTTCGACAAGAGGAACCATCAGTTATAGATCAACCAGTAACAAGCAGACCTCGAAGAATAAGACACATTCCTGCAAAGTTGCAAGATTGTGTGATTACTTCCGATGATGTGGTTGATAATAAAGGTGAGTTGATACATTATGCTTTCTATGTAGATGTCGAACCAGTCAATTCAGTTGAAGCATTGGAGAATTCGAAGTGGGTGAAAGCAATGAACGAAGAAGTGAAGTCCATTGAAGACAACAATACTTGGTCACTTGTCGAATTACTTCAAGTCAAGAAGGAAATTGATGTCAAGTGGGTATAAAAAGTGAAGATGAATCCCATAGGAGAAGTAGCTCGACACAAAGCAAGGCTAGTGGCGAAAGGATTTCTCCAGAAAGAAGGAATAGACTTCAATGAAGTTTTTGCACCTGTTGCTAGAATCGAAACGATTAGGTTGGTTGTTGGTCTAGCAGAAATCAACAGTTGACACATATGTCAGATGGACGTGAAGTGTGAATTCCTAAATAGACCCTTAGACGAAGAAGTTTATGTTAAACAACCAGTTGGGTTTGTGAAACATGGCGAAGAGAGAAAGGTGTACATGATGCTTAAAGCTCTGTATGGATTGAAACAAGCTTCAAGAGCTTGGAATAAGAAGATTGATAGTTTTATAAGGGAGAAGGAATTTGTGAAGTGCATAACTGAACATGGAGTATATGTAAGAAGAAGCAATAGTGAATTACTTATACTATGTCTCTATGTTGATGACTTGTTAATAACATGTAGCTGCAAGAAAGAGATCGAAGACTTCAACAGTGATCTGAGCAAGGAATTCAAAATGTCGGATTTGGGTGAAATTTTATACTTCTTTGGCATCGAATTCTACAAGAGTAGTAGAGGTTTAATAATGCATCAAAGAAGATATGCAAGAGAAATTCTCAAAAGATTTGAGATGGAAGAATATAACTCAACTTTGACACCTGCTGAACCAAGGTTGCAACTGTCGAAAGAGTCAGAAGAAGATGATGTCGACCCAACCCAATACAGAAGACTTATTGGGTCCTTAAGATACCTTTGTCATATGAGGCCTGACTTATCATACAGTGTAGGTATGGTAAGTAGATTCATGCAAAAGCCAAATGTATCACACCTAGCAGCGGCGAAGAGGATATTGAGGTATCTGAAAGGAATTCTTGACTATGACATTTTGTTTCCTGCAGATGATAAAGGAAAAGAGTGCAAGTTAGTGGAATACACTGATTCGAGTTGGTGTAGTGATGTTGATGATCAAAAATCTACATCAGGATATGTGTTTATGCTAGGTGGTGCACCAATTGCTTGGAGTTCGAGAAAGGAACTAGTAGTGGCATTATCATCGTGCGAAGCAGAATACATAGATGCTTCTCTTTGTGCATGTCAAGCAACATGGATGGTGAACTTGGTTGAAGAGCTAACAGGGAAAGATCATGGAATAATTACCATGGTCGAAGCAATTACCAATGTCAACTATCAATCTGGCGAAGAACCTAATAGCTCATGGTCGAAGCAAGCACATCGAAATGAGGTTCCACTATATTCGAGAACATTTAGCAGATGGAAAGATGAACTTGGAACACTACAAAATTGAGAATCAGATTGCAAACATCATGACAAAGGGAGTGCAGATCAAAGTATTTCAAAGACTAAGAGCTATGATGAATGTAGATAGCTTTGATAAGGGAGTGTCGAAAAAGATTTGATTTAGTGTGGAAACAGTTTGTTACACACATATTTGTTGTAGATCTAGATATATTTGATGTAGGTCTAAAATAAATTTGATTTGATTTAGTTTAAAATAAGTATTTTGAACTTTTATAGTTTTGAGTTTTGGCTTAGAGAGTAAGATAACCTAAATCTATAAATAGAGGGAGTAACCCATATTTTTTGTAATCAAGTCAATTAAGTTGTATTCATAGAATTTACAGTTGTAAGTGAATAACAAAGTTTTTCATAGTTTGTGGATAAAGAGAAACTCTGCAGAAAATCATCGTCTTCTCTTTCTTTCTTTCTTTTATATTTTCATTGTCATTGTGCGGTAATATCAATATTGTTCATTAAAATTGATAGAAATTCATCATAGATTTTAGTGGATTTTCATCCGATTTCTCATTATATACATATTTAAATGTTATTATTAGTTTAATATTATACATTTCTGTTTTGCTTATGATTAAGAGATATTGCAAAATATAAACGTTAAAGAAGTTAGAGAAACTAAACACATAATATAATATGTACTTATTCAAAAGAGATATCGATAGGTGTGAAATATTTGCATAACCATTTTAATGCAAGTGAACAACTTTTTATAATCATTTGTACTAAACTTTTGTGTGTGTTAGATTTATGTTCCCTAACTTTCTCTTTTTTCCTTTTTATAAAAATTTTAAACTTATAAAAAATATTTATAGTTAATGTTAATTTTCGATCCTATACCCTTAATCATGACCATATACATTACATCCAAATTATAATTATTACTTTTTCTAAAATTTTTGACAAATCAACTCAGAGGTACTACTCATGTTGAAATTGCTAGCTACGATAATGATAGTCATCTACTTCTTTGAAATTTTCTTTTTTTTCAAGTTTAACAATAAGTATGCATTTAATGTTTATCTGTATTTGGCCATTAATGTTGAAATTGCTAGCTACGATTTGCAATTAATGTTAGCAAATATTTGGCCACTAAATAAAAAACAAATAACACAGCAAATTGTGAAAATTATGTACTCCTTCTGATTATAATTATTATAATTATAAGTTAAAAATAACTACGTTCACATTAATTAAAAATATAAATTAAGTGTAATTATTTTTTTAATTTAAAATAAAATTAACATAAAATTTATTATAATATCTTTAACTATATTTAATAAATCAATTAATTTTTTTGACACATAAATCAATTATTAATATTAAATATTTTTAAATTTAATTTAAAATATAATAATAATATAAACATTAATTAATTGAAAAGTTAATGTGAATAAAATTTAAAATTATTATTTTTATCTATAATAAAAATCGGAGAGAAAACCGATATTAAAATTGTTGCATAGCAGAAAATTTTTTTCCTTAAAATTGTTCAACTATAAATATCATTGAATTCTAAATTGATAATTTAGAATTTTTTTAATTTTATTCGAAAATATTAGGTTAGCAATAACACCTACTCCCCGCCGATTAGAATATTAATTCTCCAATGATTTAAACAAGACTAAGAAATATTCAAAATATTTTAAACAAGACTAAGAGTAGGTTCGTTTTAATTTTAAACAATAGTTTTTTTTGTTGTAATTTTAAAACTAATTTTTATGAATTTTCTTTTAAATACTAAAAAAAGTTTAATTTATTTTTATAAATTAAAAGACTAGTTTTAAT